ACCAAATATTAACAGCTATAACACTTTTTTGAACCACAAGTTACACTTCAAATATTAAGGATCGGGTACAAAGTATCAGCACTTCTAAATTGGTTTACACTAAGAAAATCAATTGCCATATTTCTAATAAAAATAATGAAAAATATTAATTTTATCACATATCTTTGATTATGATTAATGGATAAAGAAACATTTCTGTTAAAATCAATTCTATTTGAGTTTAAAATAATTGGGCATTATTTATTATACAAGACTGTAATTTTTTATGATTTTCTGACATTGTACTGAGGAAACATTTACTGTAAAGAACATTATGAAAATCCGCTAACCTCAGCCTGAGATTCCAAAGCAAGTCTGAAGAAGTCAGAGGCGACAAAATGCTTGCCCACAGACTCTGCCATTTTGATTTGGGCAACCCAATAAGAGGAAGTCTCGAGCCTATCAAAACGACATTTACTACAATGCAGTGCACTGTAGAATGGTGTAGACGGCACGTTAGACTTTGTTCTAACCTGGGAAGATGCTATTGGGGTTTTGGGCTCTGAAGCAAAATCCTTGTCATGGGTATTGTTCTTTGATGTTTTGTCTGCAAATCCTTCTTGGAATGCATCACTTCTCTTATTCAATCCAAGGTTGACATTTTCTGGGGTCTTTTTATCAGCGTCAATGGGAATTTGAGTTGCCCGAATAGATTTGGAAGGTTGTACTTGTTTCAGTGAAACGTTAATTTTTGTTCTGGTTGGAATAATGTTTGTGCTCTTAGCAGTACCAAAAACCCGGTTTTGTCTGAAACTAAAGATGATGAAAATGTTAAAAGACAAGGTTTTTCTAGCAGTATAAAATGAAAGGAAAAATTTAAGTGTTGCATCTCAGATACTTTTAGTGTTGTTCTATTATCGGAACTGAAGTTTTATCTCCGTAACGTATATCAATTTTTCACGTCTATGTGATATCTTTAATGTTAACCTTTCTTATACTTTTAATTAAAAAACAATACCAAGAGTAACTATAGTTCTTTACTTAAGTTTTGTCCAAAATAAAATTGGTGAGTAAAAAATAAAAAAAGATGAGTTACCTTTGAGTTTCACTGGTGCCCTTTTTGTCCTTTTGGTTGATTTTTGGTTTCAAAGCATTGGCTTTGCCTAGTACCATATAATAAAAGAAAATTCTTTGCATTACTAAACAATAATAATAAAAATGAAAGGGATGATGCAGAATGATATAACATAATTAAATTGAAAAGAATTGGGTTGTTACCTGGAAGTGGCGAGAGAAGAGAATCCATGAAAAAATCACAAGAGTTCAAAGTTTCTGAGATTGTGGCTATTACTGTACCATGTTATTACCAACACCATAATCGTTGAGTTGTAACCGTTGTAGTGTGCATGAGGGCTTGAGCGGGAACAGGTTTTACACCAAGTTTTTTGTTATTGGGGTGAAGAAAGTATGGCTATGGGCCAGGATCACACTGAAAATAAGCCCAGTGGCCCAAACCTTATCATATGTCATTTTCTAAAAATGATGGAAGAAAAAATAATCATGTTCTAGCATTTAATTTGATGCGTTTCGAAATTCATCGCATTTCAATCTAGGTCAACATATTGGGACCAAAAATAAAATAAAGATCTAGGTCAACATTTCATACACACCTTTCTCACTTGTTTGTTTTATTTCATACTGGTTTTTCTCCTTGCAAATTGATTCTGCAGGAAAGTTCATGGATGATGAAATAACACGGCCCGCATTTATTTTATGATGAAAAATGTCACTTCTGTAATAAATTAGTACAATATTTTATAAAAGAAAAGTGTTAGTTGTGCTTTAAGGATATTAGTTAAGAAATACATATATTAAAAATAATTATCAACAAGTTCTTTTTGTAATTTTCAATACAAGTTTAATATTAATTCTAATAAATATTATATTTATTAATTCATTACTCATAGTTTTTAAGCATTTATTAATAAAACTTTTTTACAAAAAAATTATTATTATTTTAAATAGTGTAGTGTTTCGTGATTAATATTATTGATTAATACTGGATCAATAAACAATTATACGGATCAACCAGAAATCCCTAGGCTATCTTTATCGTTTAGGATTTTAAAAAAAAAAACTTTCTGTTAATTATATTTTCGTCTATGGCATGCTCTTGCATGTTTTGTTCATCGAGTAAAATGTTTTTTTTTTAAGTTTTCCATGGGCGTGTTTAAGGACTTTAAACAAGTATATGTAATGTCATATGTCACTTATTGCGACCCGTTTTTTTATTAAGTCGAATTATATGTAAGACTTCTTGACTTTTTTCTTTTTTGGGTTTTTATAATGCTAGTTTGAAATTTATTTTCCTAACTATCTATGTAATATATTATTGATTTATGCATCTATTTATATATAAATTCTTACATCACATAATCATATCTCATGTTTTTGTTTTTTCTTATGGAATTATTTCTCACTTGTCTCTACCCAGTTATCGTCCCTTTGATTCAATGGCTGTGAACATTCCAAATCAAAATTAACTTTTGTGTGTATGTGTGAATGAAATAGATGCCGTACGTGCATTTTCTTGGACACAGGACGATCTTTACGCTGTGCCCGTAGCCGCGAGGTTAGAGGTCGTGCTGTGTTTCGTAATTATAATTATAATAATACGGTGAAGTGACTTCAGCTTTTTAAAGCAAATAGGTTATACATAATTTAAGTTAGCTTCAGCTTTCCACAAGTAAAAGCATTTATACTTATTGATTTTACGATACTAAGATTTTTTATCTTATTTTTTACTTTCTTCTACTCACTTAGTGGAGAAAAATTTCTTTAATTTTTAAATTTTTAGTTTCAAAATAATATAGTTTTACTTTCTTTTTATTTCTTGTCCAAACAAAGCATAAATGTTACAGGGTTCAAAATCCTTTTCAAACATAAAAGCTCTAAGATTTCTAGAATTATAAAGAGATATTCATAAAACGTCACAAAGAAAGAAAATTCGATTATCATCAATTAGTTTCTACCCACACACTGTTTTTCAATGTCATGAGCATAAGAGGGATGTGGAATCAATTTCCAGAAAAACCATCCACACCTTTTAAAAATGTGTTAGTAATTTAATAAGAGATGGAAGTTAGATGTAGTTACTCTAATTGTTAAACAAATGAATATTCATACAACATGTATTTTACCTGATAGAGTTTAAAATCGTGTTCTATGTTACTAGCGATGGCAGTCTCAAGGCAAGGAGTTAGTAGAAAATTTGAAATTATATTCAGCACAAGTCAGCCTACTAAAATTTTATTATTTTTTTATGCCGTTTTTGGCAGCCATTAAATACGTATGCATTATTATTGGTGTGTGAAAGGAGCTAGGTATTTTCGCAGACTAGAAAGATCAAAAAAAGAAGTTGTCAAAATGCCAAGGGACCATAGAAAAATAAAAAAGGACAATAAATTAAAAAAAATGTTTAAGCAGTTATGCAATACGGAACTTGACTTATTAGGACATTGATTAACGGTTAATTAGAATTAAAAGAGAACCATAACTTTCTTTTTATCGTGATAATCCCTGAACCAAGTTGTTAGGTCTTGGGCAGGCATTATTATTAAAGAGGTATTAAATGAATATTAAAGAACCCAAGTAAAAAAAATTTAATTGGATAATGAAACGTGAATCACATATTCCAGCAATTTCCAAGAAAATGAAAAACACAATCGGACTATGTATTATTTGAATTAGCAATCATTCAAGGATTCAGTATTTAGCATACAAAGCAAAATGAATATTCTTCCCTTTCTTCCATTTGAACGTACGTCAAAGTCAAGCGTCAAGACTCTTCTATATAAATTTTCTAAAAAAAGTGTTAGAAACAGTGGATAATTGAATTTTTTTTTATCATAATTAAGTTTTACAAAGCAGGAAGTATAATAATTAATTAATAAGCTATAAAGCGCCTTTGCTTGTCCGAAACCCCAGTTCAATCATTAATAGAAGTTGAACATTAAGTACCGGTTGCATAACTCTTCCTCCACTTTCTCTTATTCCTGAAATTTTCTCTGTTCAATTGCACAACTTTTTCATCTGCTCCTACCTATCCATCATCGTTCATCTATTTATTACCAACGCTTGACACACAGAAATAAAGGTATCAAGAAGAAACCATGGCAGGAGGAAGCGGAGGAAGAAACTTGGAGGAAACGCCAACATGGGCCGTAGCTGCTGTTTGTTTTGTTTTGATCTTAGTATCTATAATGATCGAGCACATCATCCATCTCATTGGAAAGGTATATTATATACATATATGCCATTATTTAGTTAATAATTTTAATTTTTTAGCACAAAAGAAAAGAATACATAACTCTGTATCATATATTATATAAGAAAAACCATATATTATATAATATTTGATTGATTAATAATCAATATGTGCATGCGAGCAGTGGCTGAAGAAGAAGCACAAGAGAGCTTTGTACGAGTCACTTGAGAAGATCAAGTCAGGTTTGAGTTTGACATGGCTCTTAGGCCCTAGCTAATTCATTAACTAGCTACCGTAATTAATTAAAGTTGTTGAACTCTCACATCCTTAATGATGATTAGTATATGAAATGAAAACTTTTATGGTTAAATTGGTATGATTGTTGTTGGGTGCAGAGCTTATGTTGTTGGGGTTCATATCGTTGCTTCTAACGGTAGGACAAGCTCCAATATCAAGAATATGTATATCAGAAAAAGTTGCTGGAACATGGCATCCTTGCAGCGATAAAGAGGAAAATAGTGAAGAATCAGAAAACCAAACGAGTGGCCGCAGATTAATGCAAGCGGCGTTCTCTGGTTCAGACGGAGAAAATCCACGACGCGTTTTAGCGGGAGGAGGAAGCGACAAGTGTGCCGAGGTTGGTATGGAGCAATTATTGTTCTTATCATCAACAATTTTAACTAGATTTTCCTTAGCCAAGTTTCTGTACATGGAATAGCTTTACAAGATCAATTTCCATTTTTATTGTTGTTCTTTTGTTATATATACATGCACGGGGGAATATAAAATTTAAGAAAATTGATGTTTGATATCCTAATGGGGACTCTATGCTTTGTAGGAAAAGAAAGATATATAAGAAAAAGGAAACAAAAAAGTATAAAAGATTATGTGATAAAAAATTGTAAATGCAATCTTGTCTTACTAGAGAATGACTGGTTTATGTTGGCTGCGTTAATAAGCACTACCTGTTGCTTTCCAATTTTTTTACATTTTATGATTGTCAAAAAAGTAATAATAAATTATATGTTGCCTTTTCTTTATAGTTTGTTTTCAAAGTGTGGAGAAGGTCATAGGGTTCATTTAATTAAGTTTTGGAGTCGTTACGTTGAAATGAAATATTGATGAATTATTTATAGTAATGAAAACGATGTGACAAGTTAAAAAACTTATACAAAATAAACTTTATCAATTTATGATAATTGCTTGATTAGAATTATCGTAGTGAAAAAATAGGATGTGAGAAGAATAGTTAAAACTTTAACAAGGGTTGGGGGCGATGCTAATTAATTAAGTCGAAATATATATTGAGTATGCTTTTAATTAACTGTGTTGTTCATTTTTCTATTTTTAATTAACACAAAATATGCTTTAAAAGTTGTAGCAATAAGAATATTTCATACTAACTTTTTGAAATAGAAAAAAAATATTTTTCAATTTTTGTTTAAAATAATTACTATTTGAAGTATGCCTGAATAACTGTTTATTTAAGCACTTATTTAATAAGCAATTTTAAAATATAATTTATGTCATAAATTTAATAATAAAATTTATTAGAAAAAGTTAACAATAGTTTATTTTGATAAATTATAAAAAATTATCGAAATAAATTAAAACTAGTTTATGAAAATAATAAATTATTTATAAGCTCTTCTCTAAATTTTTAATTAAAAAATACAATACAGTTAATCTCTGTCCCATTAAGCCAAGGTTTCTTAGTTGTTTTTTTCAAAAGTCGTTTCTATGTTAGATTACACGACAATGATCCTTATTATAGTTGTGTTACTTCTTCTACTCGGTTATGTGCCTCTTAAAGTCAAAGGTGCAAATGTCTTGGGGGTCCAGTGTGTGAAAAGCTTTTACGTATACCTAGGAAGTATGCACAAAATGCTAACCTAATGTATGGCTTGCGTGCATCTCAAGCACATAAGCCAGTTAGCCAAGAAATTTTACCCTTTTGCAAGTATTGTATACAGTATATAGGATTAGAAAATTCCAATATTATGAATTCTGCATCTTCGTTCTCGTCACCCACTGACGATTTTATTTAGAAAAATATTAGAACATCAATATATAAGAGTTGAAAAGTTGAAGTTTCTGCATATGCCAATATCTTCACGGAAAGCCCCATTTGTAACAGGATTTAAGAAAAGAAAAGATAAGAGATTAAGAACAAACAGGCAAATGCAGTATAAATTTATTGTCATATCCTAACCAAGAAACTCTGTTAGTTATTATTCCTTTTTTATATATATTATTTTGTTATTAATCATTTGGCTTCTTCTCATATTATTTATAATTTTTGTTTGACAAAATTGATTCATTAATATAGGTAGTATTTTTTTTTCTCCCTACAAATTTTCTCTGATGGACCTGGTTAAACCTGAGTGACTGACTTATATCAATTTTTCTTTTTTAGTTTTCAAGTATACGAATATAAAATTGAAATATTGTTAGTATATTATATTATGGATATACAATTTACAATATTTATAAACAATATTTTTATTAATGAGAACAAATATAACATTTAGCATTTTTTGTGTTAGTAAATATATATGACATTTTTGAATTTGTAACGATTTGTTTCTTTTATTATATACAAAACATGCAGGGTAAAGTCCCATTTGTGTCATCTGATGGCATTCATCAACTCCATATATTTATCTTCGTGCTGGCTGTTTTTCATGTCCTTTACTGCATTATCACTATGGCTTTGGGCAGAGCAAAGGTAATTGAAGACTGATACTAAATTCAAAGGTTCCCTCTCTATATATCATTGAGTTACTTACTTGCTTCAATTTTGACTCAATAGATGAAAAGGTGGAAACGATGGGAAGAGGAAACCAAGACACTTGAGTACCAATTTTCACACGGTTAGTCGTTTGAATTATTGAATAATATAATATGATAATATTGAAGAGGAACTTTTTTAATTAAATTTAAATTTTTATTTAATAAAAATTGTTTTTCTTTCTTTAACATGAATATATCTATATATAATTCACAGATCCTGAGCGATTCAGATTTGCCAGGGAGACATCGTTTGGAAGAAGGCACTTGAGCTTCTGGACCAAAAATCCTGTCCTCATGTGGATTGTAAGCCTAATCTATTTTTAATTATATGTTCTTAATGTATGATTGAGAGTGGTTCTGAAAGAAAATGAAATATAGAATATATTTTTATATTTTAAAAAATTCTTTAATTTGAAAATTTTTAAAATTAAAGAAATAAAAATTAATATTTTGATATATTTTTAAATGTTATATAACTCTCTTAATTTAAAAATAAAAAATAACCTTTTTTTTTTCATTTTTATCCAAAACTCCATTAATATACCTTTAAAATACTAGTTTAATGAAAATAATCCTATATGAATTGTTAAACTATTTTAACTAGCATGAATAGATATTGGAAAGATCATATATTAAGGTCTTAAATGTTTTGTATGATATACTATTATGACTTTACTATACAAACACAGTTTAACTATTAAAAGAAAATTTTGTAAGTAAAAGTACTGCATTTGTCTCTCGTTCAAAGTTGGGGGAATAATAATTAATAAATGTATTTCTAATTATTTTATTTTATTTTTATTATCAATATTATAAATTCTTTATTATATTTATATAATAAATAAACAAAGAAGATAAAAAATAAATAAATTTTGGGATGATAATTATCTTAAAGTAAAATTTTAAAAAACCTACTTTAAAATGTAAAATGAAGAAAAATAAAATTCATTAAAAAACTATTTTTCAGAAAAGAATTATTAATTTTTTTTGTTTTTTGGAATACGAAAATCTTAAAATTAATACTCTCTTTGGCCTTGGTGTTTACAAAAATTTTACTCTTGCGTTAATTTTTTATTTTCTATTATTACCGGCTTTACTTGTCTATAAATATTTTGTACTCTCTACTTTAATTTAACTTACAGATAACTTAATTGCTACCATTATATTATAGTGTTGTTTGAAAAAAGTCATTATGAACATTTGGTCTAGAAGAGAGAGTGATAATGAAATAAAATTCACATAGAATAAAATAAAAAATTAATATAAGATTATTTAAATTGAAACTCTCTTATTTAATGGTTTAAAATTTTAGATTGAACTTTTTAAAAATGAGGCAACATCCTCAACTTTAAGATAGAAAAATAACATTCTAAGGAGGCAGGTGGTGGTTGTTCCTGACCTTTCTTTAGCGAATATTCTGCCTAGGGACCACTTGGCCTCTTGACAATGCTATTCTCTTCTCCTGCAAAGTCCCACTTAACAACTAGCACTAGTTTCTATATTCACATATATTTATCTTTATTTGACCAGAGAAAAAGATCCAACATCTTTTATTAACGCTTTTGTATTAAGAAAGATGCAATAAATATGTACATGTTCAAATTAAGAAAACTGTGCTTAATTTACTCACTCTTGTTACCTATTTATTCACGCCTGATTGCAGGTTTGTTTCTTTAGGCAGTTTGTACGGTCAGTTCCTAAGGTGGATTACTTGACCTTGAGACATGGATTTATCATGGTAAAAACAATCTTCCTTAATTGCTTGCTGGTTGAACTTTAATTAAACCACTTGAAATTTTTATAGTACTCAGCATGTTATTGTCTGGTGAGTGCTACATTTTCTTCTTCTCTTTCACATGCAATAAATGACTTGGAATTTAACGTTGATTGATTCAGGCACATTTGGCTCCACAAAGTCACTCCAAGTTTGATTTTCGGAAATATATAAAACGATCATTGGACGAGGACTTCAAAGTTGTTGTAGGAATCAGGTTTTTGTGCATTCTCTTTTCCATTTGTATTTTGGAACTTGTTCGTATGACTGGCTTCTTTTTTTTTATTATTGTTATCAGAAAATAAGAAAAAATAAAAAGGAACGAAAATGAAGAAACAAGTGAGAAAATTATTAATAATTTTTTTGTCTTTTGTTTTAAGTAAGAAGAAAAGTGAGGTAAAAATATAATTATATCAAATGAATTTTATGTTTTTTTTTTAATGTAAGGATTAGTAGTTAGATACATGGATAAATATGCCATGTTAATAAATTTTCTTTCTTTCATTTGCTCATTCTTTGATAGTATTCGAAAGAGAAAATAAAGAAGATATTGAAAAAGTATACTGCTTGATAAATAAAAATGAAAAGTTTCGTTTTATTTTATTTTGATAAGAAGAAAATTTAATAAAATAAATAAATAATGTCTAAAGATGAGTTTCCTTTATGGTTGAAATTTGTTAAATTAAAATTGCAAATAAGTGAGGGTTACATGCAGAATAACATATTTCTTTCTTCTTTTTTTGGCAAGATGAGATCTCCACTATGCATGGAAGACAGATCTTTCTTAGTAGGTCCCAATCCCATCCATTTTCCTTTTATCTCTCATCATTTGTCCTACTATTCAAATGAGTGAAGTTAGACAAATCTTTCCTATCTCTTTATCCTCTATTTTTTTTAATTCAAGATTAACTCATCCAGAAAGTAACAATCATGACCCATTTAGGGAGAGAAAATTCCTTTATACTTTTTTCTATCCTATTTTTTGGCATTAATTTGCTTCTCCAACCATACTAAATATTAATCTTGTGTGTGTATATAATCTACCTTTCTACACCTATTTAATTTTTTTTATATTTTTATCTCTTGAGTAATCTCCTTTATAACAAGAGAATCTACATCCTTGGTAAATGTTTTAGAATACAAATATTAAATCAAAATAACCATTTAATAACTTTGAAACTATGTATCCTTTATCTTGAATACACGAATTTAATTAAAAATATTAAGTATTATGTTAGCCGGGAAGGAGACCATTTTCCCCCCTTGGAATTTTTTACCTCTTGCAACTAACATGGACTCCTAAAATTGTGATTTATATATATATATATATAAATCAGATTTGAATTTACAAGTCTATATTATGATTTTGACCGATCTTGTTCTAATTTTTCAGTCCTCCATTCTGGTTCTTCGCAGTGTTGTTTCTCCTCTTGAACACTCATGGTAAGCAACCAATTAACCACGCTGCCGAAGTATTTGACTCTATCTATATAACTTACCTCTACGTGTCATTTATGCATGGACAGGCTGGTACTCTTATTTGTGGCTGCCATTCATCCCTTTGATCGTAAGCACATGCAATGGTTACTTTAATTAATTTTGGGTTCAAATGATCGATAATGATATCCATCTAATTATTTAATATTTTCATAAATGTAGATTATTCTTTTAGTAGGGACCAAGCTACAAGTGATCATAACCGAGATGGGTCTTAGAATTCAACAAAGAGGAGAGGTTCTTAAGGGTGTGCCATTGGTCCAGCCAGGCGATCACCTCTTCTGGTTTAACCGACCTGGCCTCATTCTCTACCTAATCAATTTCGTGCTCTTTCAGGTGCCTACATAACAATTAGTAAATGAGTAATAATCTACATTGAAGATAATAATTACTTTTGCATGAATAAGGGGTGCATTGTTTTTTTTTTTTTTTTAATTTGTGATTTTAAAGTTCTTACATATAAAAATTAAGATTTTTTTTTCATTTTTGTAAAAAATATTTAATATTTTCTGTCATACTTCTTTATTTCTTTATAATTATTTTTATTTTGAGTTAAGAGTGCAATTAATAAAAATAACTAGTATTGTTTTATATTTTAAAAATGAAGAATAAAAAAGTAAAGGGACTATTATACTTTTAAAATAAAACTTTTTTAATTTTAGAGTTTTTTTAAAACTATTATTATAAGGACAAGTTTTCAAAACTGTTAACATGATATGTATTTAAGTCATGTAAAACTTGTATCTATGAATTGACTTTTTTTAGTGTCCTCTTATCATGGTAATGACTAATTGAAGTCTTCCTGTGTCTCTTGTCTGCCTTTTTTTTTTATCCGAACAGAATGCTTTTCAGCTTGCTTTCTTTGCATGGTCTGCGGTAAGTCATCCAAAATAATTTTTTCTTTTGCTTATATTGTTTCTGCTATGGTCAATAGAATTGAAAATACGATTAATACTTTTTGGTGATTTCTATCTTATAAATGTTTATAATGTATTCCTGTCAGGGGGGCTGAATGAAACTATCTTGGTTTATATTTAGTTTATTTTTATAATCCAATATTAGGTAGCTCTGATTGATTATCATTTTTTTTAACCATAGCTTCAATTTGGGATTAAATCATGTTTCCATTCACATACGGAGGATGTGGTGATCAGAATCTCAATGGGGTGAGTGTCATTCCATTTCTTCTTAACTTGAATACATCTTTACCGGTATTAAAATGTCAAGTTTCATTATTGCAAGCCATTAACGTGGATGACTTCGCCAGGGTCCTCATTCAAATCCTCTGCAGCTATGTTACTCTTCCTCTCTATGCTTTAGTCACACAGGTAATTTATTTAACTAACACTAAAGCCCTATTCCTTGTTTTATTTTACTTTCCTTTCCATTTGTCACAAACATGGAAAAAATGCTGGCTTTGATATATGATCGATTTAAGACAGATGAAAACGAAAAGGTATAATATATATTAAACGAAGATAAAAGTAGTTAAAAAGAGGTAATGTTAAAAGAGTTGGGAGAGTATTAACGTAACGAAAAAATGATAACAGATGGGTTCAACGATGAAGGCAACAATATTCAACGAAAGAGTAGCGGTGGCTCTGCGGAATTGGCACCAAACAGCGAAGAAGCACATAAGACAGAACCGTGTAGGGTCATTATCCTTATCAGGGACACCAGTCTCGAGCAGACCCACAACCCCAAGCCACCACATGTCCCCAGTTCACCTCTTACGATTCTACCGTTCCGAAGTAGACAGTTTCCCCGCATCTCCAAGAAGATCCAACATGGACGCTGCCGATCAGTTTCAACCCTCCGACATCGATTCCCCTTCTCCTTCTTATTCCCACCACCAAATCGAAATGGCTAACATTCCCCGCGATCATCCCACCTCCACCCACCATGAGATTGTTGTTGCGCACAGCAAAGAATTTTCATTTGATAAAAGACCTACCGATAACAAGTAATATTTCTTTTCTGTAACATGTTCAATTTATTGTTAATGTGTACAAATATGATGCATTGTAAATCTTAATGATACCCAGTGTATGGGACGTTTCTCTATTTAATTGAGCTGTGACTCGAGTTCGGTATTTTCAGTGTTGTCATCCTCTTCCTCGCGGAGGTTATTTCTTTTGTACACTGTAACGAACGTTTCATGATAATTACGTGTTTAAGATATGATATTATATTATTTGAACAATCTTTCAATTTCTCTCTTTTTTTAAATTTTTTTTAATGTCGAGATCTTTCAAGATAGATATGCATTTATGACTGTGATACTCGCAATTGTTATGAATTCACGTTTTGGATCCTCAATGCATGCCGACGCTGGATTTGGATTCCATGTTCTCGTCAGGTGCTCCGATTTTGAAATTTTGCGCTATTTGTGAAAAGGTTTTATTACTCGGTGTTTTAGGATATTGATTAAAAAAATTAAATACCTTTCTAAAAAGAATTATGTTAAAAATGTATTAAATTTATGATAATATTTTTATAATAAAAAAACCCTCCAATGCTCCTCCCATTTCCTTCAATTGAGACCCTTTCTTTTCTTTTTCATCTAACCTCACACCATTTTAATTTCCTCTCTATTCTTTAATATTCTCTCGTCTAAAAGAATATATTTTTTTTCTTTCAAATTTCTCTCTTAATTTCCTTCATCCTGAATACGGTCAACTAAGCACAATCATAAAAATGGTGAGTACAACATTAATACAAAAAATTGAGAAAGAAGTGTGGAAATAATCAAAATATAGTATTGGTTAACAAGTGGATAAGCCAGGAAAGATACACGCTTGTTCGACAAGCAAAATATACGATAAAAAATAACAAAATATAAAAATAGATAAAAAGATTATATAGAAAAAAATAATAAAAATAGTTTAATAATAAATTAAATATTTTTAGTTAATTTTTTATAATTTTTTTTTCATATTTATACTAGTTTATGATTAAATAATAGTTTACATCAACAATATATCAAATTTAAATTCAATAAAGTAAGTTAATAAAATAAATTTATTATCTTTTATTATTTAAATAAATTTTAAAATAAGATAAACTAAAAAAAAATGCCATTTTACTCTCTTGTCTCACCTGACGAACGCAGTAAAGAAGAAAAAAAAAATTACTTGTAATCTTTTAGGTAATGGAAATAAATAATTCAATGGTCCATAGATCTCTTTGCAAGTTTCAATTTCTAACTCTGTTCTTTCTCCGACACGACGTTTCCTCGTGATCTTCGCTGGTTTGCGACATGGCGAGAAGTGCCTCTCAATCTCAATCAGCTACTTCTGCCACAAACTCGCGACCGGGGCTCATGGCTCCTCGCGGCTCCGCTGCCGCAACCGCCGGCATGCGTCGTCGCCGTCTCGCCGGTGGAAGCAGCTCCGGCGCTGTTGGAGGTGGCTCCGGCCCCGGAAGCAACATGTTGAGGTTCTACACCGACGACGCCCCCGGCCTGAAGATCTCTCCGACGGTGGTGCTGGTGATGAGTCTCTGCTTCATCGGCTTCGTCACCGCTCTCCACGTGTTTGGCAAGCTCTACCGCTATCGATCTGGTGGTGGTGGCGCTTGATTCCATATCTTGATCGTGGATCTGATTGCTCCGATTCGGATCTCACATGATATTCTCTTCTCCCCTTGGTAATCCAACCGCGCTTTTTCTTTTTCTTCTTCAATTTATTTTGCAGTTTTTTGTCTTTGTAAATTTTGCAAGGGCTTGATTAGGCTTCCTGTTTTTCTAGCTCTGAAATGACTGTATCTTATTACCGTTGATGGAAGTCACTTTTGGCCTTTCCGTGAAAATCGATCTCTGGCGTTCATTTATTACTTTTCATTCGTTCTATTATTTCACTTTTTTGCTTACATTTCCAAAAATTAAACGGTTGCGTTGTCAGCAATTTCTGTTATCCCTGTAGATTGATTTCGTTCGTTTCTTTTCCCCTTCCAACACAAGTTTTCAATGTTTGAACGTTTCCTCCATTATTACTGCCAATTTTTTTGATCTGGTTTTAGTATTAGGTTACGAGCTGCCACATTTATTCCAGAACACTTTTGAGTGACTATAAGCCAAGTAATGATACAATTGATTTTATTGTAGAAGTTACTATACTTTTGCTTGTATGTTGGTATTACTAATAATGATTTATATGCTGCTTTAGTACGAAGTGTGTGTGTGGAAAGGTAATGAAAAGGCTCTGCATACCAATTACAAGTAACCTCAATACATCAATGTGGTTACAAAAGCCATGTAGGTTGGAGGAATATAAATTGAATTTACAACAACTATTGTCTATATCTGCATATAAGGAAAAGAAGTTATAACTTATAAGCCTATAAGGATCGATCGTCTGAATTCAGTTTCCACTTTCGTCTACTTCCTAAGATGTATATGTCTTATCCGTTGACCTTTGAAAAAAGGGATCGGCTGCAAAGGAAATTCGTAACCAAAAGATCGTGTAAATGTGCTTGCCATCCTCTTCTCATTCTATTTTCTTATCAAAGTGAGTGTAATTGCCAAAAAAAGGAATATTGTTATTCGAGAATTCATTCTCCTGAAACCATAAAACATTGAAAACAGAGTGTTGCATCTGCTGCTCTTAATACTCTGACTTGACATGTTTTCAGTGGAGGTTAAGATCTGATAGTTTTTGTATTGATAACCTATGGTCATATCATCCCTCACGCTTTTGTTTGTTGGGCACTTTTCATACCTTGGTAAAGTTTCCCCGATTTTCACATGTATCCCTTAGTCGAGTACCCTTCGAAATCAACGTAGTATCCAGCTATTCAACTGGGATAGCTATAGCAATTCTTGTTGATGTGTCTACTTCAAGTACTTACAGCAAGCAAGGTATTTATAGTTCAAGTAGAAAAGTGACACCGGGGACTTACTTTTGTAATTTTTGACTCTCTTGGCCCCTTTATGAGGCTACTGCACCCAATCCTAACCACAACCCTGCACTGCATTATTTTAAGTTGGCTCCTTTTATTTTGTTCATTGGAGGAAGGAGATGTGAGAATTTTCAAGACCCAGGATTTGAACTCTGCAGTGTTTTGAGCTGGGTCTTAGAACTCCTGTTTTATTTGTTTTGGGCCCTGCAGTATCGCTGCTTCTTTTGGCCCAGTTTGGCCTGGTGTGTCATCTTTGTGACCTTGGGCCTCATCGATAGAAAAAATCCTAACCATAAAATTTACAATAATTTGTTGACAAAAAAATAAAATAATTTTATCATAAGTATAATTCTAAATTTAAAAGTTAAATTAGAACCATTGGATGGAGGAAGTGCAGCTTGTACAGTAAATTTTTAAACTGTGATGTATCCTTTTCAACACCAGAGTTTCTTCACTCCTAAGCGCTTTGATCCACACGTGGAAAGAAGTGGCTTGTCAGCTCCTTGATATCCTGAAGCCGTTGCACTATTCGTCCCTGATCCGTTTGGGAATCTTCTCTCTGAGGCTAAAGAAATACCATCGATCCTCCCCAAACACAGCTTTCTCTGCCCAATCTAAAGAAAAAGTAATGTAAAGCGTATTCAAAATGATAGTGAACATCGTACGCCAAAAACTGATAGAGAAGACTTGGTAAATATTGCGAGTGGATGCCGATGGTCCCGATTTGGGTCGCTTTAAATATTGGTGGAAATTTGCGTGAGTTTTGCCTCTGCAACTTAGAAAATTATATATCAGCATATGCAAGAAAACCAATTTCGACATTTATCCCAATCAACCTGCAAGAATTCCTTAAGTTATTATTAGTTACACTATTACATGTTAGAATATGTTATATCTGTGAATCAATTTTTCGTATGAGGTTGTATACAATATTAATCCCTTATTTCATAATAAATTTAATTAAGGAGTTAGATTAATTAGATTAGAATGTGGAAAAGTTGATGTAGACACCCGCATCATAATATTAAAGTAAATATTGCAAAATATCACAACTATATACATAATGAATTCATCCATCCACTGAAAGTGACTGACACTATTTATTACGATAATTATATGAAGAGGGCTTTACATTTGTGAAAGCCTATGAAAGGATTATTTTTTTATAAGTAACTCGTTGAGTAAATGAAGTTAATATGGTAGAAATTCTAAAGGAAAACTAAACGGATGAATTGGATTATATATTCAATTATTTTATAGGTTAACTAGATTACCATTACTTAACCTCTTTCCAAATCCAACGTATGAAATTGAATAGAACCTTTTTTTCTAAACAAATTCCCCTTTCAGTTTCTTTCTTTTATATAAAAAGAGAGAACATTACAGAAGATGCACGACGGTTCGCTCTTGAACATTTTTCTATACGTTCAAGAATTCCTCATCGAATAATATCATCAACGGTACGGGTTACAGGGTCTGCAGGCACGTGAATCTGCATTATTTGATAACTCATATTCAAGCTCGTGATAAAATTATTTCTTTTTTCTTTTTTAAAACGCGAAGTGTATCACGCACGTATTTCTTCTCTCATATCTTTTGCATAGTTGATGATTAACTGTGATGATGAAAAGAAAGAAAGAAAAATAGGAATAAATAAATAAATGACTATTAATTATATGTTAAAAAATATATAATACTTCCTTTTAGAATTGTTAAATCTTAATTAGTAATTGGGTTTTTCTTTCCTTTTTCTTTTTCAGGTAAACCATTTTCAGCCCGGAATGCAGTGTATTTGGAGAGTCTGGATTCAGGACATCCAACAATTTAGAGTTAACAAAATAAAAAGAATTTTTATGTACTTTTCTTCTGATTCCCAAGAGACATAGGGAAATGAAAAATTATTGTTACTTAACACGCTTGGGAAGAAGAATATTTTTTCCACAATCAAAAAAATAATGGTATTTGTGGCCTTTGAGTGAAAGATATGAACGTTGGAGCCAAAAGTAGTTCAATACAATATATATAGCTATTTGTTCTAAGCAATCTTGTGACTAATGCTAGGAGTCTACCCACAATTACTGGTGGCTCCTTATAAACCAAGCTCACATGCACATCTTTGTCATTGAAGTACTTCAGCTGAGTACATTGTGCATAAATATATTGTAAATTGATTATTCAAGATAAATCTTGAATGGTCTGGTACTGTTAATATTGTATATATTTAATCATATGTTAATTATTTTCAGGACTTTGCGACTTGCAGGCTAACGCAGACATCCGTATCAGGAAGGATACGTTTCTTATATCACATGCCAGAGGGAAGAAACTAGCTTGTGACATGTCCTGGAAAGCAAGGCGTAAAAAATTTAGATTTTATAAGACATGAATAGTAATAATAATAATAATCATCATCATCATCATTTTTGGCATAAAATTTTAAACATGCATACAGTTTTTTTAACCCTCGTTTTTTCAAATGGCTATTCAACGTAAGTTTATGGAATTACTTTAGTCATAAAGATTAAGGATCATTAATCAAAACCAAATAAGAAAAAGCTAATATTATAAAAACAGCGTGAGTGAAATAAGCCACGTATTAAGTAAAATTGGGTAATTGAGTACATAAAAGTGAAAAGAATCTATGACTTAATATTATAAGATTTAAGATTAGAGGTAATATTGAGACTATTTGTATGACCTCATTAATAAAATTTCTCCAACATCTCTATATTCTATTGAAGTTAAGTTAATATGATCACAGGTTATTATCAACACAGACCTTTCGACCTTTGAATTAATACACACACAAAAAAAGGTTACTCCAATTTTGTTTTCAATTCAGAATTTCACTGTGCAACCCTATATGCCAAGAGGGATCTAAATGACTATTCAAATACATATCAACTAGATAGGTAATCTATTATGTTTGTATTCGGACTTATTTACCTATTTATCGTAGTTTTTATTAAATTTCAGTTCTTTCCTTTTAATCAATATTACTTATTAAAGAAGCTAATTTCTTTTCCTTTCTTTTGGATCAGTTTAACCAGAAAATGCTAATCAAGTTAGCATTTTATCGTTCCATTTCAAGAAACAATAAAGGGGAGAAATTGAAGGAAGTGATGAACATATGACTTGACAGGAGAATTCCTAGAGAGAAGTTCTTTGTCTTGTTTAAAATATCACCGCATAAAAGGAATACAATGCTGCTTTTTATATAATTAAATAGAGAATCACAAATGGAAATGAGGGCAGAGTAGCCATTCTCTATAGAAGAGAAAATTCCAAATGATTGAATTGACTTCCAAGTAGAACAGCGTCTTCAAAGAAAGTAAGAGATTAAGTTTACCACTTGCTTATTTTATGTTTACACTCAACAAAATTTTCTTCCTTGGCAAGATCCAACCTTCACCTCTCTCAACCTTTTATTTTATTGTCATGAATTAAAATTATGTTTATTTAACAAAACATGAGCCATCATTTCTATGGAATGATTTTAGCCCATAGCTTTAACCTAAGTCAAAGATAGAAATGCAAAATAATTGAGATAAGAATACTTAATTATTGTAAGAATGAGAGTCATAAAAACAAATCATTAGATTTTAACTGTTTATATATAATCACATGACACAAAGTTAATGTTGATACGTTTCTATAAATATATAATATTGATATAAAGAATGGATTTCTTTCAAATCATGCTCATTGTTTATGAGTTAGGTGGTGACCATATCCTACGCCATCCCTACTAATTAATGCAAACTGTAAAGGCAAGGAGTTAACTTGTTTTTAATTTTTCTATTACTGTAGTCAGTGCTCAAAGTACCCGGCGTTTACTTGTTTAATTTAACAAAAAATATATGTAGATTGAATTAGCCCTATAAAATCGACTTGAGAATATTCAATCTTATTAGTGATTTTGTCAATTTTGTTGTGCCAACGTAGCCGCTGTTTTATCCAAGTTTTACACGAAGAAAACTAAAGTAAACATATAGAAATTAGTATAAATTTTTTTATTATTACAATAAGTAATCTTTTAAGTATATTGAAGACTTGAGTAATTATATATTAGGAGATGATTTATATTTATTTGTGTAAAAATTATAAGAGCAGAGTTTATAATTTTCTCAATACAAAATTTAAAAGATAAAAATTATTATGAGTTCATAAATTAATACAGGTAAATGTGTGACGTTACATTAAATTTGCGTATTTTTTTTTTATACGAGTACTTTTAGAGGAAGAAAAATAATATGAAGATTCATCTCCTCTTTTTCTAACAAAATTTATTATTTTTGTTTAAGAATAAATTAATTAATATTGTTAATCGTTAATTCACTGTCAATAAAATCAATAAGATTATAAAAAATAAAATAAAACAAAAAGTTATATGAGTTTTGCATCCGAAAAAATCCTTAAATTGTCAAAGTAAATTAAAATCATTTTTTTTATTTTACTCTTTTTACATAACATACTCATAAATATTAAAGTGACTATATATCTACATTTCAATTGCATCAAAATTAAAATTCACACCTACACAAATAGAAGAAGCATATATAATCATCAAGTTTTACACATTAACCTCTTTAGCGCAAGTTTTTTCAAAGATAATTTAGGATGAGGGATGAGGCTCACAGCCTCACAGTGCATCAACTTACAGGAAATCACTAATTTAAATTCAATGTTGAGCATATGACATGGTGTCAATTCCGATATTAACCTCTATTCCATTTTATAAGATCTATATTTAGATTAACTTATTAATTTATTTTACCCTTTAAAAAAAATTTGTCAAATTTTTCCTTAAAAATGTTTCAACGATTATTTTAATAAAATAATAATTCAAATATGCATTAAATATTTCACCTTTAAATTATAAGCTCTTGAAAAATTAAAACAATCCCTATGTGTTATTTGTGAGATAAATAGTAAATTACTCTCTTTAGTCTCAAATACGAGATATTATGACTTAAAATATAAGTCAATTTAATTAATTTTATATGATATAATGAAATTATTTTTAAATGTTTTTTATTAATTTAAATTTTATTTTTAATAATTTTTATTCTTAAAATATAACATCGATAGCTACATAGAATTTTTAAAATGAAAAGATAATTATTTTCTTAAAATAAGTTTCCATAATTTAAATCTCTTGTCAAAAATTATTTTTTACCTATTAGCATCTGGCATAGAAACTTAAATCATAAATTAATATCATATAATACTAATTAAAAAATTAAATAATTTTTAAATAATTTATTTTTCTGTAGTAATATTATGAAAGACATCGTAAAAATAGAGTAAAATTAACTAATTTCCTAATAAACATAATTTAATAATTTTTATTTATATTTAAGACAGGAAGAAGTAGATGTTACGTATACGCATTAAGTGAACTTGGAATTCTAACATACTATCAAAGGGTATCGGTATCTAAAATGATTAATATAAAATATAATAATTTAGCTAGATAAGTAATTAAATGTATCATTTTGAATAAATAAATGAATCAGTTATTCAAACAATTATAAATTTATAATATCTATATGTAAGTATGTAGGTGCTTTAGTTTAAAAAAGACTTTCAGTGGTTATGCTCATGCATTGGTGTAGTATTTTTAGTTCTTTTACATGTATAATTTTATATTTGTCACGTCATATACTATTTATTATTTCTATGTCTTTTACTCCAAAAATAAAAAATATAACTTGACATTATTCTTATTTTATTGAAATGAAATGTGGTGGAAGTGGAGTCGAGTTGTGTGGATAGGACCGAGTCAACTCAGTGGAAAAAGGTGTTATTTATTGTTGTATGATTATTGGCAATTGTCATGTTTGAATAGGCAGTGAATCAATTAGTGTGAGTGACAGAGTGGTACAGCAATTCACCCCAAATGAAAATATAATGATTAAATATAAATTAATCATGATTTTTAATTAAATGATTATTGTATGAAGAAAAGAGAGAAGATAGGGAGCGAATTTCTAGAGAAATGTGAAGCACACGAAAGGGACTGACTGAGTGTGTTTGGAAAAGAGAGAGAAATTGGGTGGCTGTTGCCTCGACACATCAAACACTCTTTTCTGACAGTCTTTTTGTGGGCCCCCACTCCCAGCCAGTCAGCCCTCACGGACGGCACCTCCCTCTCTCTCTCTCTCTCTCTCTCATAATACAATTATGCCATAATCATTTTCATACCTTGCTGTAAAGCTCTCTCCCTTTCCCTTCTTGTAAACTCTCCTCTACCTTTCTTATTTAACAATTTCACATTTTTACGTATGGGTAATAAATTTGGAATTTATTATATATAAATATTGTTGTTTATTAATTTTAATGAATTAAAAGACTAGAGAAAACATTGTCTTACTCACTTTGAACCTAGTTAATTATTTGTGTAAAAAATTATTTATGTCACCGATGTTAACTATATGTTATTTTAATTGACATGGTAAAATTATGAGTAATTTTGATTTACATTACATTATCTATCATTTGTTTTAATCGTATTATGATGTCTCTTTTTCATTAGGTGTGTATACCCAACAATTTTCAATTAAAAAATTCACCCTTTCTTAATTGGGTAGATTTAGTACTACACCTGAGTATATAAAGAGTGAGAAAGGGAGAAAGAGAAAAAGTGGTCCAGAGGAGTCTATGGCTGGCTGACCCTGAGAGGCTCCGTGTTAGATAAGCAGAGAAAAAAAGAGATCGAGTGAGAAAGATATTTTAAATATATTATTCTCTCTTCGTTTAACTCTCATTCATTCCAAACTATGACTTGTGCTTTCCGCGCGATTCACATGTAAAACCAATTTCAATTTCTTCCAAGATACATATTCTTTTTCCACTTTTTGTCTCAAATGAGAAAATCAATGGAATGAAAATGAGTATTCAATCTATCTAGCTTTACTTTGAATATGCATAGATATTATTATTATTATCTTTTCCCAGCACAAGCACTGGTAGCAGCTAGCTAAAGCACTTTTGGTTTTATATTTTGTTTTGGCAGTACCTTCATCAATCCACTTTTGGTTTTGGAATTTGCCTTAGGTAGCTAGTTTAGGACACACAATTTTTCTTTGGTTCCAAAATGATGTCCGAAGAAGCCTTTTCTGTTGCTCCCAACACCATCAGAGGCTCCTTGGTTCATGTTCAAGAAGACCCCAACTCAAACTCAAACTCAAACCCTAATCCAAACCCTAATTCAAATCTAGCTAGGAAAAAGAGAAATCTACCCGGAACACCAGGCAAGTCATGATTAACCCACTTCTCATATCTTTCATTCTTATTTATTATTATTATGAACACAATTTTTTGTTAATTAATCGAAAAGTGGTTGATTTAATTATAAGTACTAACCATATATACGTGTGAATGAAATGAATTGTAAGCAGATCCAGATGCAGAAGTGGTAGCTCTGTCACCTAAGTCTCTTATGGCTACCAACCGTTTCATATGTGAAATTTGCAACAAGGGTTTTCAGAGAGACCAGAACTTGCAGCTGCATAGACGTGGACACAACTTGCCGTGGAAGCTGAGGCAGAGAACAAACAAAGATCAAGTGAAGAAGAAGGTGTACGTGTGCCCAGAGAAGAGTTGTGTGCACCATGATCCCTCTAGAGCCCTGGGAGACTTGACAGGGATAAAGAAACACTATAGCCGAAAGCATGGAGAGAAGAAGTGGAAGTGTGACAAGTGCTCCAAGAAATACGCAGTTCAATCGGATTGGAAGGCCCATAGCAAGATTTGTGGGACTAGAGAGTACAAATGTGACTGTGGCACACTTTTCTCCAGGTTAGTATTTTTCACATAAATAATATATATAATTCCCATTAAAATGTCTCATTATCATATATATAACTATTAGGTTTTCCTTTAATTTGCTTCTTATATACGGGTGCCATGCCATGATTGTTAAATAGTTTAATTAATTTGTCCAACAATTTGACATTCAATTAATTAAAATTTGAATACCAATTAAGTGTCTTTAATTCTTTAAATTTAATGGATGACAGATATATAAAAGAAACCAATGTCACGTATGTTCAATGTGCAAGGAGTAATTGAGGGAATATTTGTTTGGAATAATAAATGAGGGTTCTTAATTGATGTTTATGTGTGTTGTATATGTGGTAACAAATCAGGAAGGACAGCTTTATAACGCATAGAGCCTTTTGTGACGCTTTGGCTGAAGAAAGTGCGAGGATAACTACAGTTCCAGCAGCTTTAAGTAACTTCAGAAGCGATCATCATTTGACTAATGCTCAAGCTTCGAGGGTCCCTCAGATTTTTCCCGGGTTTCATTCAGAATATGGTGGTTCAGGGTCAGAACCATTGGGCAATTATGTTGACTCGGATCAAGGACAACAAAAGCTAAGCCTACCACTATGGCTAGACCAAGCCAATTCTCAGCTTCACCCATTTAATTTTCCAAGCAAATCAAGTGCTTTCACTTCAGGAGCAAACTCTGCTAGCACTGTGCCTGATCTAGTGCAAACAATGGACATGTTTGGGTCACAGTGGGTGAATTACCGTTACCCAGAAACATCATTCACAAATGCCAACCTATGTGTGCTACCCCCACATGGACTGAAGCAAGAACAAGAAGAAAACAAAGGAGACTTGTCGCATAGCACAAGCTCTTTGTACTTGAGTAATCACAACCCAACTCACATGTCAGCCACCGCACTGTTACAGAAAGCGGTTCAAATGGGATCTCCAAGGATCAACGACCACATGTTTGGCCTTGTGGGAAGCAACAGGAATAACAACGACAACATTAGCCACATTGTTGAGCTTCGGAAACTGAACGAGTTCGTTAATGGGGAAGGCAATACCAACACCAACACCAACCTTGGTGGTGGGTATTTATTAAATGACTCAAACAACTCGTTTGTAGTACTGACGAACACAAAGGTTTTGAATCACCCGGTGATGCCGGTGGATGAAGAAACAACACCATCAATTGTGGGCAAGCAATTACGTTCAATAAGCTCAAATAACAAAAACATTCAGCTTGGTTTAACTAGAGACTTCTTGGGTGTTGGAGATGATGAATCAATAAGAAGACCCTTCTTGCAACAAGATCTGGTTGAATTTAATGCAATGGGGTCAGGCTCAGCCATGAACCTGCAGAGCCAGTACGGTGGACACTACTGCTAGTGCTAGAGTTGCAATTTAATGACATGTACGTAGCCTTAAAGAAACTAGCGAAATTGTGTCATAGTGATATATATATAGCTACCCACTCTTATTAGCAGGAGCATGTAAACTGAACAATATTGAGAATGGGGATAGTGAGACATGTACCGAGTTAGACCAAGAAAGCAAGTTAACGAGTCGACTCGGTCATGCACAGTGACATTAACTTGAGTGTGAGATTTCACGTGTTATATATTGGATATCATAGAGAGGTCTCGTGAAGAAGGTGGGGGCCATTGCATGTTAGAAGGGACAAAGGAATAGATATGTAGAATATGAGATGAGTCCAAAAACCAAAGGGTGATTTGATTCTCCGTTATGGAAGGTCCCTACCCTCTCTCTATATGGCCATGCATGACGATCGTGGAAGCTATATAGTTGCACTGTTGTAGTTAATTTTCTTTTTTTCTTTTCTCTAACGTTGATGCAACATTACAGTTACAGTGTCGTACCATAACCTGGTGTGTGACCTTTTCACTTTCTTTTCAGTGTGTTCTTTTAAACTGTGCAGACCGTGAAATGCTGCTTTCCATGGTGAAATAATAATAGAAGACTATGTCCAGAGGTCTTTTCCATCCATTTTAAATATGTTTTCATCATCCACAACGCTCTTTTCGTCGTACTTTCACTGTATGATTCTGAAAATTTTTTTTCTGAAAAAATGGAAGTAAGAGATAAATCATATAGTAATAAGAAAAACAGTAGCAGCATGATTCACCAAATTTTATCTTGTCTGCTTGCTGCTTAATTCTCTTTTATCTGAGTACCGATTATAAAACTATAGACAAAGTCATAAATGAAATAATAATAATAAAAATAGATAGATAAATAAATATAAAAAATAAACATGAAAATATAATGGATTGAAAAATGATTATTTTTTATTTTTTTAAGGGTGTATCAATATACCTTTTATTTATATAAAAGAATTGAAAAAAAATGAAGTTTAATTTTGGTACAATGTTATTGTACAAAATATTATACTGTCAATTAATTAGAATATATTATTGATAAAATATTTATATTAATTAATATAACATTAATAATTTTTGCTGATATAATATTTTATGATTGAATGTCAATATATATTTTTAAAATTTATCTATATATTTAAATTAGATTAAAAATAAATATATAAAAATATAATAATAGAAATAAATTATGATATATATTATTAATAATGTGACATAAAAATAAAATGTAAAATTTATGAGTGTACAAATAGAAGTTAATTGAGATGCGCTGATTATTACACAGTGATTTAATCATAAATTGTCATTTCATTGATGATCGTTAATTTTTGTAATTATTATAGTTATCTAATATTATGTGTTAATATTTTTAAATTTTTAAGTTATCGTACATTTTATAAAATTTTAATTTCTTTTAAATTTTATTATTATTTTTTATTTTTGTGAGTATCTTTATATATATATATATAAGTAACATTAATAATGATATATACATATTTGCATATTATTAATTTAATTCAAAAGATACCAAAGTTATTCGGTTAATAAAATACCATTAAAATTACCTTAATTGTATTTTTAAAAGAGAAAAAATCAATTAAAATTAATTAATTTAATTTAGTTTGATTTTATTTTTTATTTAATCTAAACTAAAAAAATAAAAATTTAAATTGTTTGGGTCAAATAACCATGTATTCCTTTTAACTAGAATAACCTCATGTTATGGATATGAAATATATAAGTGATAATCATTATTCTCTTTCATTATCATAAAAATAATTAATACAAATGTTGTTTAATATGTTCAATATTGTATCAGGTTGATTGATTTAGACAAAAAAAAAAAAAAAAAAACATCTGAATTAAAATTACAAAATTGGCATTTAAACTAATACTGATATGATATGATTGATTAAACTCAGTTTTCGAATTTATTGAATTAGTGCACCCGTAAATGACGGGGAGAATAATTTCAGTTCGACAAATTAGCAAATGATATATTTAAAATTTAAAATTGGTTAATTAATTAAAAATATTAAATAAAATTTAGTTATTAAATTAGTTTAAAATATATACATAATTAGAGACATGAATATCATTAATTAATATATTATAATTTAAATTTTAATAATTATAATATTTAAATCTTATAATAAAATAATTTAATTTTTTATTTTACTCTTATTTATAAATAATATTATGAAATGCAACGCTAGCAACACGTGGCTTAATGAGGAATGATTAAGGAAAGTTGTATATTGGGTTTATTTATTAAGAAGTCTGGATGCTATTGAGTTATTAATTTTGAACTGTGGGCTCGGTTATTAGGTTTGAGACTTATTAAAAATCATCTTAAGATTAGAGGTTAAGGGTGTTAGAAATAGACTGTAAACCAACAATTTATTTAATTGGTTTAAATAATTCTACGAGCCACAAGTTTAATGAATTATGCTTTGTATACTTACTAGAATATAAGATTTATTATTTTTAATTGTTTAAGATTAAAGTTAATATTAATTTTTTTAAATTAATTAAACATCTGAAAGTTAAGCACTCAAATATAATTATTCAGTTTGATTTGTGCACAAACATTGATCTTGATTAGTGTACAAAGTTTTAACAAATTATAAAAAATGAATCCTGTTTAGTTTGGGCAGAAAATGAACTTTCAATTCTATTTTTGTTTAATTTAAAAGTTAAATGTTTGTAAAGTTAATTGTTAGAGAGAGATGATGGAGAAGTTGAGATTAGGAGCTTCAAAATGGAAGACATGTGTGAGTTCAGAGGCTTTACTCTTGACCTTAGCAGGAGGTAGAGCAAGAGAAGTAGTCAGTGAAGATAAGAGAGACTTAGAGATAAGTGTGGGTGAAGAAACTGTGAGAAGAGAAGTTACAGATAGTGATAATTAAAGAGGAAAGAAAGGTATAGTTACATTATTTAGTTTTGAGAAAAATCACTCTAACCTACGAATGAAATTAAAGTGGCACATCCATCTAAGGTTAAGGTTAGTGTGTTGTGATTGGAGAGATTTAGATATGAAAGCAGAACAATAACGTATCCAAGTGGGGCATGCCACATCAAATCCCATCCTTTCAGCTTTATTTTCATCCTCTCTGTGTGAATCACATTAAATAAATAAATAAATATATATATATAAAAGTATAAATAATTTTGCTTTTTTTTGTCATTTTCTCACCTAACATAACATTGTAATGTTATTTATTAAAACAAAAATTAGTTTTCAGCATTAATTTTTTGCATTCACTGCAAAATATTTTGTGCATTATAGCATTTCGCGAAAACATACAACAGTCACATGCTTGTTAAGAGCCAAATTGGACCCTATGTTTCAACATCCTCTGATCCACGAGGTAAAATAATGAATGAATTAAGAATTTTATTAACCTCATAAATTAAGATTAAGTTTAAGTATCTATAAATAAATTTTTTTAACACAGTTATTATATTAAAGTTATAAAAATATAGTAAATATTTTTTTAATAACATTTTATTATTATTAACTGCTTATCTTCAATTCTAAGGATTGAAATTAACAAAATCTTTTAATTAAATAAAGAGAAAGTTGTATTACATTTTAGAAAATCTAATTAATTGTAAGAATGGTTTAACTAACAAAAAGTTTTTGGCTAAACAGTTACGTTCTTTAAATAGAATGACAAGTATTTCATTTTTTTATCATAAAAATGAAAATTTTATTTAAATTCTTCTTATATTTTAAAAAAACTTATCTCCAACTATTGATTGCAGAAATGATTCAAGTTAAAAAAAAGAAACAAATGAGTCTTATATAATATTTTTTTATACTCTAAAAAAACTTTATCTTTGATAGTGATTTTACTCAACAAAATAAGATTATAGAATAATCTATTTGGTCTAAAAGATAATTTTTTAATTACTTAAAAAAAAAAACTCTTAAGTGTTGGTTCGCTATTGCCCTTCATAAAATTTAAAGATGAAAACATATAAAAATGGTTAGTTTTTATGTCATGCAATTCACGGCTTTGTTGATAATCAGTATTTACTATAATTAATATTTGATAGATAAATAATAAATGTACTTAAAGGAAAAATCTTATAAAGTATTTATAAATTTCTATCTTGTATGTTCTAATATTCATTTGTACATCACTCTTAAGTTTTCTTACAACATTCGTTACAAATTATATTTTTAACATTTAATTTAATATGTATTAATTTAAAATAATATTAACTACTAGATGATTTTAAGTTGTATATCTAATAAAAATGAATAAAGAATTATGATTACTTAAAAATCGTTAATTGTATGAAGTTTAAAATTTTAAAATATGAGTTTAGACTAAAATTATAGAAATCAGATAGATTACATCTTGAAAGAGACAGTTTTATTATTTATTATAAATTACATTTTAAATATTTAATGTAATATATGTATGGATTTGAACATTAGAATTAAAGTTGATTAAAAGTTTTAAAAAAAAAAAAAAAGTTGATTAAAAGTTTATTTTGAATTATAAGAAAGTTTTATCACTGTATATTGAATTATATCATTCAACAGTTTCAGATTAATTAAATTTTCTATCTAAAATGTATGTAATTTTTTAATAAATTTTCAACAGTGCGCAAAAATGTTGATAGCCACGATAATTCATCACTTGATACAAACACTAAGATAATTGACCGTAAGTAATTTGTCATATCTTATTGAATAATTTGTTTAATAATTTAGCCTATTTTATAATAATTAATCGTTTGAATTTCATATTTTAATTAATTAATTAAAATAATAATATTTTTTACGTGTGCCTAAGTATACACAATAAAAATTTATATATAATAATTTTTTATTAAAAATAACAAAATATCACATTATTAATGGATTAGTAATATTAAATACTATAATTTTTAACCAAATTTTTTTTATTTTTTAATTATGTTTTTGACAATCATAATTCTAACATTTCTTAATGAATTTTTTTTTCATCAACCACTGTAACCTTACCATTTACCAAATTTTAACTGCGCCAAAGAAGTTAGAGATTTTAATTACTAAAGTTAATTACTCGAGGCAAAGTTTCTATTAATTTCTTCTTCCGAAGATATCATAAAGCATGCTAATATATGGAAGCAATCATAACGTAAACACTCTTACATAAATTAATTCATAAATGAATACAAACAATCACAGATCCCCTAATCCAAATTCACCACTAAAACATTCACGCTTTCCCGCAAATCACAATCATAATACTCCAAAGCATGTGAGCTATTATCTAGGACGCTGGTAAATTCAAATCATACACTTGTTCATGATGACAACACAGTCACCAGAACTGCTGCAAGAACAAGGGACATCCACTTTCCATATGCATTCGTTTTCACAGTGCCCGAGTTTTCGTTTGTGGAATTAATCTGAGATGATTCTGAAGAATCTGGGGATAATGGCTTCTCCTTATCAGCTTTTGGCGCATTTGCAGATGGTTCTGGAGCCAAAGACGGTCCCTTTGCAGGTGCCTTGGCCACAGCAAAGAAGTCCATAGGAAGAAGCACCTTACCCACTTTATAGATAGCAAGATGCTTATCAGTATATATAATGCCATTGATGGTGG